AAAACTACCCAGAATTCCTTGGGTGAGCCAGAGAAACCGGTTACCCAGAATTCTCCCCCAGCGCAGGGGACGGGAGGGGAAGGATTAGGGCAAAGGTCAGCCGTGTTCCTGGGATGTTTACGGGGAATGGGTCATTACCAAGATTTCTCCATGGCGGATATTTTGGAGCGCGTGGAATTCAAACGAGTAGGGGGGGAGAGAAAGCGCCGTCAGCTCCGCGGGAAATTCCAGTTTCCCTACCACTCCCCCGCGCCTCTAGCTCAACCTAACCCGGGAGAGACGGGGAAGGAGGATTGGCAGTCGTCGCCTCCAATCAGCAGGAGCCTGGGGCTCATCTCAGCCAATAAGAGGGAGCCAGGTAACCGGCGGCTCCAGAGGGGGCGTGTGACGCAGAGGTCCGTCAAAACAAGGTTACGGAATGCCGCCGGGGACAAACTGAGTCAGGAGCTGGCCTCTGCGGCGTTGTGAAAAGTAATCGCTTCGGTTCGAAGCCTTGTTAAACAAAGCGGACTTTAGACCGGGAAACCGAGCTTTTGCGCTCCCCGAATAGAAACTAGACCGAGGGGAGCCGGAGGCAAAGCACTGGGACTCGCCTGGTGGGTATTCCCGGCGCAGCCTGGTCGAGCCCTTCATCCCGCTGGTGCCTGTGACCCTGCGCCCCCGAAACTCGCTGGCATTTCCTATGACTTCTAGACATGGGAAAGAAAAAGGAAGTGGGAGCCTGACAGGAGGCTGGCCCAAGTGGCCACCTTTTCTGTATTTCTAAAGGCATCCATCTGAAATTCCCACCCATGTTTGTGTCGTCCCCAGAGGCCCCATGATTTTCCCAAGGAGCAAGACTCCCAGACTGCCAACTTCCCCTAGACCGTGGAGTTTGACATCGCCCCTCTCAGCTGAGACATACCCTGTCAACAGCGTGGGAGGATGTCACCCTGTCCAGCAGGTCCTGGACCTCAGCTAAGGACTTAAACTGCTTTGCAGTTGGCCCAGGATATGAGATGTCTCAGGACACTCAAGGCTCAGCTGACGCTATCTTGAGTTTTTGCTTGTTTGTTTGTTTGGTTGGTTTTTCAGGACAGGGTTTCTCTGTGTAGCAGCTCTGGCTGCCCTGGAGCTCGCTCTTTAGACCAGGCTGGCCTTGAACTCACAGAGACCCACCTGCCTCTGCCTTTCCAGTGCTGGGATTTAAGGCGAGTGCTTTCAAGATGGGACAGCAGGCAAGGTGTCTGCTACCAAGTGTGAGGACCTGAGTTCCATCCCTGGGGCCCACATGGTGGAAGGAAAAAAGTGACACCCAACAGTTGTCTTCACTCATATACTATGGCACACACACATAATAAATACATTTCTGCACACATAAGAAATAAGTTTAACTATCTTTAGTAAAGTCAGTTGCCAAAGCATCTATTTAGCACATGCAAGCACCTTGAAGGAACAAAGCCCTGAGCTGAACACCAGTATCTCAAAAAATCAAATTCCTCTGGGCTGAGACTATAGGTCAGTAGTTTAGCACTTGTCTAGCATACACACAAGAAACCCCAGGTTCAGCCGGGCGTTGGTGGGGCATGCCTTTAATCCCAGCACTCGGGAGGCAGAGGCAGGCAGATCTCTGTGAGTTCGAGACCAGCCTGGTCTACAAGAGCTAGTTCCAGGACAGCCTCCAAAGCCACAGAGAAACCCTGTCTCAAAAAAACAAAAAACAAAACAAAACAAAAAAACAAGCCCTAGGTTCAACAACAACAACAACAACAACAACAACAACAACCACACACACACACACACACACACTGATACAACCATGTTTGTGCACTTTCTCTGATTTCTCTCTTAATAAAGCCAAGTAAGTAGAACTTCATGAAAGAGCCATGAGGTAGAGGCAGATAGATCAGGAGTTCAAGGCCTTCCTCTGCAGCATAGTGAATTCCAGGTCAGCCTGGACAACATGAGACTATCTAAAAACAAAACAAAATAATAAAGGGAGCAGGCAGGGGGCTGTGGGCACTCAGATATTCCATACTCCAAGGACTCTTACACCAAAATAAAAAACTCCTAACTCAAAGGACCTCTGCCTTCACAGGTACTAAGATTTAAGTTTTCACACACAATGCTAGATGTGAAGAGGCTTGAACAGTTCCTATATAGAAATCAATCTCTATATGGAGAACTCAGAATTCTCATAATTGAAAAGAGACCTCAAGGACCCATGGGAGTTAAGGAGCTTGAGATACATGGAATAAATAAGTTACCTTTTAGTTACCACACCCCACTCAATAAACTACTTTATGAAGCAAGATACACTTCCACTTGAGCTCCTCCCAGTGTCCAGTGTTACTATGCAGTAATTTAAAATGTAGCTAAGCATGGCAGAGTGTGACTATAATCCCAGCAGTGGGCAGTGGAGCAGGAGGATCAAGAACTCAAGAATATTCTCAGCAGTCTGGACAAAAAGAAATGGTCTCAAAAACAGACAAGACTGGTGGTGGCAGCACACACCTTTAGTCCCAGAACTCCGGAGGCGGAGGCAGAGGCAGGCAGATCTCTGTGAGTTCAAGGCCAGCTTGGTCTACAGAGCGAGTTCCAGGACAGCCAGGGTTACACAGAGAAATCTTGTCTAGAAAAAAAAAAAAACAAGCAGATAAAACAAAACAAAAAAACTCAGCTGCAGACTATGAGATGGGCCTGACTCAGGTCTATAACTCTTTCTACTAAAGGCTAATTTAGGAGAATCGAAATCTGAAGATCCAAACCAGGTGTAGCAGTGCTCACACCTTTATCCCTAAAGCAGGCAGAGTCAGGCAGATCTCTGAGTTTAAAGCCAGCCTGGTCTACAGTGAGGTCTAGGCCAACCAGGCTACACAGTAAGACTCTGTCTCAAAAAAGTAAAAACATTTGAAGACCTGTTACAGTATAGCGAGTTCAAGGTCAAACCACATACTTTAGTAAGACAGTTCTGAGATCTGATGAGTGACAGAGAACTTGCCTAACAAATGTGAGGCCATAGGTTCAGTCTTCAGAAACAAAGAATATGAAGCCCGATGGGAAGGATGACTCAGTGGGCAAAGGTGCCAACTGCTGAAACCTGACAACCTGAGCCCAAGTTCTGGAAACCACACAAAGGTGGAAGGAGAGAACTGACAATGTTGTCCTCTTATTCCACAGGCATACTGAGGCATACATGCACCCCCCACACACACATAATTTAATCAATTTCTTAATTTCATGTACATTGGTGGTTTTTTTTTTTGCCTGCATATATGTCTATGTGGGGGTGTCAGATCCCCTGGAACTAGAGTTGCAGTCAGGTGTGAGCTGCCATGTGAGTCCTGGGAATTGAACCCAGGGCCTCCAACATTTTATTTGTCGTTTTTTTTTTTTTTTCCAAGACAGGGTTTCTCTGTGTAATAGTCCTGACTGTCCTAGAACTCACTTTGTAGATCAGGCTGGCTTGGAACTCACTGAGATCCACCTGCCTCTGCCTCCCAAGTGCTGGGATCAAAGGCGTGCGCCACCCCCTGCCCCACAAAGCCCAGTAATTTTTAAAAGTAGACTCTGAAGCCAAGTTGTTAGCACCACAGTGCTAGCCACTTTCTAGCTCAGTGATCTCCATTAAATCACATATCTGCACACCTCAGTCTTCCCCAGCTGTCAGATGTAGTATGTGATATAATAATACTACGTAGGATTTACTGTGGGACTTAGGTGAATGCACACAACGTGCTTAGAGCAGGTCCGTGTCATAAAGTGAGAGTTGACTGCACGTTAGCCATCGTTATTAGCCATCGTTTTTAACCACCTGCGGGGACTGCAACTAGACTTGGAGGCTGAGCATCCAGCTGGAAAGGCCTGTTTAGGAGTGTCTTCTGAATGTGATTTGCATAACGGTTGAGGGCCAGCTGATGTCAGGGCTTCTTGAAGTTCTAGGTCAGCGGTAGCAGTTCCAGCTGCAAGATAGCACCACAGTCTCCCCATCAACACCACTTCCTACTCAACTGCCAAAGCACCAGGAAGTGAAACGGCTGAAGCTCCATTGCCTCCAGCTCACCCCATCCACCTCATCCTACCTCCATTTCCTTACCTTTCTTCCCACCCTCCCTCCCCTATCTCTTAGGACTCTCAGGACCTTGACCAGAGGTAGCAAAAGTATAAGAGACACTACACAAAATGGAGTGCATTCCCCTCCCAATTCCCTTATTCCATTTCTACCCATCCTATGTAGACAAACCATTTTTCTCCCAAACTGAGCCAATCCTAAAGGTAGGTAGCCTGGTCACAGAATCCTAATAAAAATGTGTGCACCAGAAGTTTCTTTGGGCAGTTTAAAATAGTCCCAAAGGGTACTTAAAAGAGTCCTAAAGCACATTTGGAAGGATACAGAGATTATCATGGCCCCTGTGCAAGGATATGACATGCAAATCCATACAGCATTTTATATTAAGAAAAAAAATAGACTCCAGTCGGTGTCTTTAATCCCAGCACTCAGAAGGCGGAGGCAGGCCGATCTCTGAGGCCAGCCTAGTCTACAGAGTGAGTTCTGGAGACAGCTAGGACTACACCGAGAAACCCCTGTCTCGAAAAACAAAAAATCCTAAGGGAAGGGAGACCCCCCCATTGAGAACATGTACCTCAGAGGAAAATTTAACTTGGGAAAGCTTTGAGAGCCTTCTGTGTGATCATCGACAGCCTCATTCTGACTTCCAAACTGTTTTGGGACCCTCCGCTGGGGTTGGGGCTGTCCCAGCTCCAGACCACCCTCTCCTCCCACGTCCAACCTCAGTCTCTCAGCTGCTTCCCTGGATGTTGCATCACGGAGGGTGATGAAACCAGCCATCAGTGGATTTTACCCGTGGATGCAATAGGCTGAAGGACAAGCAAGGGTCATTGCCTCTGTACTTTCAACTATCTATCTACACTTTTCTAGTTATGGGGTAGGAGCAGGGGGGCTGGGGTGTTTAAATTGGATTTCCGATCCCTGGTTATAGTGGTTCCCTGAAAAGCCATTACCTAAATCCCACAGAAATGAAGAATCAAGGGGTTCTTAGAGAGCATTATCACCCCCAAAGTACCCTTCCCACAGCGAGGGCTGACAGGGAGCAGTAATTTCTTACCCTGCCCTTACACAGCATCTCAGCTCACAAAGCACTTTCAGTTACTGTTGCCTCCAAAACCAGGACCTCCCCGTGAAAAGAACACCATTTTCCCACAGAGGAAAAGAAAAGCCTTGTCCTTACATAGAAGGTACCACACAGGAACCAAACTTCATTTCAAACTGAGCTCACCATGGGATCTGGAGATGAATGAATGCTGTTGTGGTTTTTCCTCAGGCAAGAGGAAGTGAGGAAATCAGAGTGGGATGAGGTAAGAACAAAGCCTTGAGAGGCCAAAAAAAAAATTCAGACAGATTACACAGGAAGGAACTGGAGATGGTATTAATTTAAATGTTCCCAACTTCCACGCCCCTTCTGCAGCCATCCCTGTTCCTGGAGAGCATGACACATGTATCCCATCCTAGGCCTCTAGCCACAGCAAGCTCGCCACTCACTTCCCCTGGAACTGAAGAGGCATACCTGGGCTCTCCACAGAGGGAGATGATGCAGGGAGGGGAATCCCACCTGCTCTGAGTCACCTGCTAGTGTAAAGGGCGGGCCTTACAATGCAGGGGCCTTAAAAAGAAACAGCGAGCAACTCAAAGGGAAGAAAACAGGAAGCCGGTTAGAAACCAGACTTCAAGAGTCCACGAAGCCCGGTGCAGGTCACAGAGCCAGCAGGATCTGAGGAGCAGGCAACAAAATGCTGGACTGCAGAGCTGCGCTACTGCTGTGGCTGCTGCCCTGGACCGCCCAGGGCCTAGCAGTGCCCAGGAGCAGCAGCCCTGACTGGGCGCAGTGCCAACAGCTCTCTCGGAGTCTCTGCACACTGGCCTGGGATGCACACCCACCAGTAGGGCATATGGTAAGTGTCAGCTCCTGGAGCCATGCAGAAACCCCTCTGAGCCCTCTCAGTGTGTAGGTTTGTAAGCTGTGGCCCTGGCACTGGGTGGAAGGAATCTGGCGGGCTGAAGGTCATTACGGAATGAGAGAGAGGACAGAAGATGTGACTTCTGTGAGAGTCGATCCATTGGAATGCAAAATTACTGATCTCATCCTCCCTCATCCCCACTCCAGGATACACTAAGAGAAGAAGGAAATGAAGAGACTAGAAGCGATGTCCCCCATATCCAGTGTGGGGATGGTTGTGATCCACAAGGACTCAAGGACAACAGCCAGGTACCACCGAGATGACATTAGGGTATTTAGGGGAGGGGAGGCGGAATGAACTGGGCCCCATAACGACCGCTTAGCTATGCCTGAGACGGTAAAGAACCTCAGTGGGCTTGAAGCCAGCCTGAGCTACACATAGTAAGTTTAAGGCCAGAGCCCGAGCCAGTGAGGTGCTGTCTAACACAAAAAAGAAAAGAGCAAAGAGTGAGGCAGGAAGGACACTGGAAAGCGTATCCATATGCTTCCATTGCTTTCTTCTTTCCCTAGTTCTGCTTGCAAAGAATCCACCAAGGTCTGGTTTTTTATAAGCAACTGTTGGACTCAGACATCTTCACAGGGGAGCCTTCTCTACTCCCTGATGGTCCCGTGGGCCAGCTTCACACCTCCCTACTGGGCCTCAGCCAACTCCTGCAGGTATGAACCTGAGATCTGGAGGAAGGGGCTAGCCAGTGTCTGAGATGGAAGTCAGGAGCTTAGTATTAGAATCCTTTCTGATTGTGTCTTGTGTCCTTCTAGCCAGAGGACCACCAGTGGGAGAGCCAACAGATGCCTAGCCTGAGTCCCAGTCAGCAGTGGCAGCGTCCCCTTCTGCGTTCCAAGATCCTCCGAAGCCTCCAAGCCTTTGTGGCAATAGCTGCCCGGGTCTTTGCTCACGGAGCAGCCACCCTGACTGAGCCCTTAATGCCAACAGCTTAAGTATGGCACCCAGGTTCCCATGGCTCAGCAATGATAGGATCGATCTACCGACCCAGGCATCAGGGGCCAATTAGTACTTTCTGTTGTTTGTTTTGTTTGAAAAGCAAGGACAGTTTTATTAAAAAAAAACAAATAAACAAACAAACAAACAAACAAACAAAAACCCAGAGCAGGTAGCTCCCTAGAGGAAGGAGATGGAGATGAGGAGTAAAGTCATGCCCTTTGCCATGGAAGCTTGCAAGCAACCACATGGTAGAAGGGGCAGGATGGGGGAGCGCTTTGGGGAAATAGTGTGAAAGCCCAGAGCATCGGAAAAACCGAGCCCAGGCTTTAGCCAGTATCTGTAAGAAAAGGAAGAAAAAGGGAAAGTTACATTTTCCTGAGTAGCTGGGAGAAATGCGCAGGCTCAAGGTGCCACAGATGAAGCTCTGTAATCGCCTGCTGAGTCCCTGAGAACTAACAAATGGTCAATATGGACCCACGGTGATGCTTAACCTGTGACAAGCTGCATATTTATTAACCGGGAAGGGGTATTTTAGTATTATTTATCCTTGTAACAGCAGTTTAGAGGATTGTTATTTATTATATTTATGAGGAATTATGTATTTTTTCCAATAAAGACTTATTTATTTGGCTCTCTGAGTCTAGTTTCTAAGCATAGTTGGGAAAGGAAACAGATGAGAAGTGAAACAGCTCAGTAATAATGGAAGCTATATGCCTATTCCTTCCCTGCCGCAACAGTCTGAGGGACATAAATGGCTGCACCAACCAGAAAGGAGGAATGTGACAAGAGGATGTACCAGAGTGGGATGTACCAGAGACAGCTGGCCTTGCTGTCCCTAGGGAATTAGCTTTCAGAAACAGACAGACATGTGGAAAAGAGACACTTCCACCAGTTTTTGTTGTTGTTGTTTTAACAAGAGTTTATTAGGATGTACAGAAGACTCTGAGATAATAGTTCTTTCTAGCTATAGGGACCATGGTGACAGATATTACAGCAGGGAACCCAGGCACTTAAGAAGGAATGGAATGAACTGTTACTAAAATCTCAGGTACAAGGAATTCTCTCTCTCTCTCTCTGGGTTCTAATGTGTCACCCTGGCTGGCTCAAAACTCAGATCCACCTTCCTCTTCAGTGCTAGGATCAAAGGCATGTACCACCCAGCCTGGCTTTGCCAGATCTCCTTCTTTCTTCCTTCCTTCCTTCCTTCCTTCCTTTCTTTCTTTCTTTCCTTCCTTTCTCTCCCTCTTTCTTTTCTTTCTTTCCTTCCCTCCCCCTCCTTCCTTTTTTTTTTTCTTTTTTGTTGAGGCAGGGTTTCTCTGGCTTTGGAGGCTTTCCTGAAACTAGCTCTTGTAGACCAGGCTGGCCTTGAACTCACAGAGATCCGCCTGCCTCTGCCTCCCCCTATTGGATTAAGGTCTCTTTATTTCAGAGGACACCATGTTGAAACCCAGGCCAGAGCTAGGTTAAGAACCCAGCCAGCGCGGCCAGAACAAAAGGGAGCCCGCGTCCCCACGTGCAGCCCCTTAAGAAGCTCCCTTACGTCATCCCGGCTTTCCTTCACCACGCCCCTATGGGCGAGTCCCCGGGTCCACCTGGTACCTGCCCCAGGACTATTGGGCGGGGCTAGGGTGACTCCCTACATCCCCCTTCCTTTGTTTTTTGAGACAGGCTTTCCCTGTGTAGTCCTTGCTGTCCTAGAACTTGCTTTGTAGACCAGGCTGGCCTTGAACTTACAGAGTTCCACCTGCCTCTGCCTCCTGAGTGCTGGGATCAAAAACAGGTTCCACCACCTGGCTTTTGCTGAATTTCGTAACTTCACCTCTGGGCCGGGGGCTTTTTTTCTTATGACTTCTGCTTTTAGTTCCCTGAGTTTCCTCTGCTCCTCTTTGTGTCTCTTCCTTATCTAGCTCCTTGGTTTTTCGTTTGCTCATGACACCTTCATGGCTGAGCATGGTACTGTTGTCCCCTCTCCCCACTGTTATTAACCCCTTCCTGAACAGGACTGACACACCAGGCAGGAAACAGTCACAGTATGGCTCATGTTCATTTGCCACTCAAGTTGTACCACAAACACACCTCAGAGTAGTGGCAGTTGCTCCCGGGTTCCCTGGCCTGGGCAAGGCTTAAGGATGTCCAGAGGCCTCTGATAAACCTTCATGGCTCTGAGGTCCTTGCCCGGGTCACGCCTAAGGGGACACGCTTGGCTTTCACATTAACGATGTACAAAAGAGTGACAACTTATTAGTAAGACAGCCCGGATGCAGCATGTCTCTTCACTCAATTCTACCCAGTACTATAAGAAGAAATTCCCAGTGCTCAGAAACCTGAGCACCCAGACCTACAGGAGTGATTCTCTCAAGAACTGGAGAAGTAGAGGCGAGACTGCCTAAGGCAGCAAAGCTTCACATCTTCCTAAGGGACCAGGATTGTTGTGTAGGGGAGGGGTGAGCAGGGCTGGAGACCACTAGGAGGAATACTATTTGCCATGCTCATCCTTAGGATAGAGTTCACATGGTGGGCTGAAGCAGACAGCTCTCAGCCTCTACAGGGAAAAAGGAGATTTAGAATTGGAGTCGGGAGCCAAGGGAGAAGAAAAGGAAAGGGTTAGTTAGACCTGAAGTGGCCATTAGACAGGACTAAAGCACTTGGGGTATGGCTCAGTGCCAGTGTAGTTGCCTGCCACAGTTGAGAGTCCGGCTTTGACAAGACCCAGGATAGCAAAGGGGAGGGAGGACAAAACTCCATCCATCTCTGTGCTCCCCACAAAGGTCACACCAATTTGGCCTTACCAATCATCAAACCATTAAAATCTTACCATACTGCAAAGATAGCACTGCCTTGGGTATCCTCTAACAATCTCTCAAATGTCCTAGCTTGCCCTCAGGACCCCTGCATCTCCCAGCATGGCAGGCAGACTCAGGATCCTAGCAAGACTACGGCCAGTGTCTGTTCTGATTCTTTGGTGCACCTTCAAAGCCATCTTACACTTTTACCTCTTACTCCAAAGTCCATGGCTAACCCAGCTCAGAAGGCCTCATCTCCCACTGTAGGGAGGACAGAGGGGAACGAGACTTCTAGTCATCAGAAGGAATCAAGGGTCCATCCACATCAAAATGGCTCTGGCAGGACATGTAGGCTTCGTCTCCGATGTTCTGATCAGCCAACAGCGGGTCACCGTGGGGCATGATGTCATCAATATTTATGATGTTGTTTCTGAAAACTAGAGCACACAGAGAAAATGTCAGTCCCTGATCCAAGTTGGATGCTCCCAACAAGAAGAACAGGCACAGTCTGGGGCTGAAGGGGATCTTGGGAAATGGAAGAACAGAGTGGGACACAGGAGGTGCTTGCACTTCCTAACATTGGGAAATTAACCAGGGCCTTGGAGCTCACCTTTTAGTAATGGGTCAGAGTGAGGTAGCTAAAGGTGTCCCCTCTTCCCCAGCCTGGCCTTGTCACTTACTTTCCATATCCACCATGTTCAGCTGCTGCAGATCTTGAGGTAAATCTGACTCTGGTGACAGCTGCGAGGCAGGTCCTGGGTCTGCCTCTGGCATTGTTTGTGGGTCCACACACGGTGTGGGGTTTAGTTCCAGCTTTGTCCCTAGATCCAGCCCTTCCTCCAGCAGCGTCTGTAAATCCAGGTCTTGTTCTAACGTCATGGCTGACATGAGATCTTCATTTAGCTCTAACGGATCCAGTTCTGCTTCCGGTTTAAGTTCTGGAGGTTGCTGCAGCTCGTCCACCTGTCTAGGTAGACAAGGACAGACAATGGGACAAGACTCAGTGAGTGTGATAAAGTGAGAAAAGGCAGAGCAAGCAGGGGCTGTGTTTCTAGTCTAAGAAGGAGATGGGGATCTAGGTGTGTTTGCACATAGCTTTACCCAGCACTCAGGAGGCAGAGGCAGGTGGATCTCTGTGAGTTTGAGACCAGTCTGGTGTACATGGTGAGACCCTGCCTGGGGTGGGGGACAGATGCAAAGGTCTAAAGGCCTTGGGCTTTATAATCAAGATTTTAAGATTTTTGTTATTCTGTCTTCCTTTGAGACAGGGTCTCATATAGCCCAGGCTGGCCCTTCAAATCTCTACATAGCCAAGGCTAGACTGGAACTTGTATGCCTTCTGCTCTCCACTCCCCAAATGCTGGAATCATAGGCACATACTGCCACCACATCTGGCCTTGAAATCCCTCTCACTTACTAGCTAGATGAATCACATATTATCAGTTACATTTTTTTTAAGTTTATTTTTACTTTCTGTGTGCAAGCATTTTGCCTTTGCATATGGCTGTGCCCGAGTTTGATATGATCACCATTACTGTTACCCACTCCTGTGGGTCCTCATAAGGGCTGAACAACAAAAGGTTTTAGAAAATCCAGTACTATGACTGGCATCAGGAAGAGTCCCATTACGTGAGTGGTTTTGATCATGGCCACCAGGGAGATGGCAGGAAACCATGAGAGAAGAGAGAAGTTGGTGCCTGGGGTCAGCAGGCAGAGGATTTTGAGTGAAGGGTTTGTATCTCACCTGTTGGAGACCACAATTAGCCTGTGTTTCAGGTATTTCCTCCGCTCTTCAAAATTAACTGTGGGGACACAGACAGGAGGTGGGAGAGATCAATGTGTTGGACACGTGACAGTCCTGACAAATGTACCTCCCTATTAAGGGGCATGCGCCATGGACAAATGTGCCCTGTGTGTGAAAGGAGGGAGATGGACTTTCCAATATCTGAGGAACCTTTCACTCTAGGAAGGATGTATGCCAATGATCCCAACCTTTTTCCTGGTAGTAGCACCCAAAAGCTTCATCCCGAGGGATTCTGGGATAGAGGAAGCGTAAAGGGTTCTCAGGGATGTTCTCGTCGGCAAGAACCTGGTAGTGGCGGATTATTTCTGTCAGTGGGAGTGACTGTAGCACTTCCTTGGTGTAGGGCTGCACGGAGTAGATGATCACTTTATCTGAAAAATAGTGGGCTTGAGGTGAGGCTAGCCCCAGAGTTCTCTGCCTTAGCTGCCCAACCTCAAAGCTACTATGGGATCCAGGCAGAGTCCCAGAAACCAAGAGCAGACAGAGGGTCAGAGAGGGTGGGGTGGGGTGCCTGCCAGAGAGTAGAGACTGCAGGAACAGTTGGGGGTGTGTGGTGGGTGTATGTGATGGGGTGTGTGTGTGACTGTGTATGTGTGTGTGTAATGAGGTGTGTGGTGGGTGTATGTGATTGTGTGTGTGTGTGTGTGTGTGTGTGTGTGTGTGTGTGTGTGTGTGTGTAATGGGGTGTGTGATGGGTGTATGTGATGGGTGTATGTGATGGGGTGTGTGGGTGTGTAATGGTGTGTGTGTGTGTGTGTGTGTGTGTGTGTGTGTGTGTGTGTCATTGGGGTATGTGACAGCGTGTGTGAAGAGGTATAATGGGGGCACCAACCATCATCCTGGTGCTCCACCCAAGAGCAAGTGATGCCCCCCTCAGAAGTTTCACTGAAGCGCAGAAGAAAGGTCCCAGAGACCATCTTCTTCAGCAGTCGGCGTTCCTGGTTCCGGCTCACAAAGCCCATGATGTGCCTGGAGCAGACAAAGTCACTGTAAGGTCCCAAGGTCCCTGTCCCATTCGTGTGGAAGTGGGAACTGGGATTTGGCCCTATTTCTGTCACTTTGACAATGTTCCTACCCCCAAGATTTGAAGGGGTGTGAGCATTCAATGAGGATACAATAAAGAAAGGTATGAGGTGTGGAGTGACAGACAGCTCAGCAGCTAAAGGTACCTGCCACCAAGCCTGACCACCTGAGTCCAGTCTCTGATCTACACACACACACACACACACACACACACACACACACACACTAACTACACACACACACACTACGTAAAAACACAATAGAGCTGGACATAGCATCTAATATTTTTAATCCCAGCTCTCTGGAGGCAGAGGCAAGTGGATTTGTGAGTTCAAGGCCAATGTGGTTTACATAGCAAGTTGCAGGACAGCCAGCCAGAGCTACATAATAGAGACTCTCTCTCTCTCTCTCTCTCTCTCTCTCTCTCTCTCTCTCTCTCTCTCTCTGTGTGTGTGTGTGTGTGTGTGTGTGTGTGTGTGTGTGTGTGTGTGTGTAAAAAGGCCAGGTGATGGACAGTTGCCCAAGCCTGAGTCTATTCCCAATTCTGTCCATTAAGCCAGTTCCTAATTTCTCCAAGAATGGGTTTCCTCATGAGACTGAAGGTGGAACTATTCACCACACTGGTGACACAATGAACAGAGCCTGCAGGGACTGAGCACCCTGCAGGCTCTGCAACACTGCAGACACTTGACAAATACAGGCCACAATTACTATTACTAACGGGACCTCACGTCAGTTTTTGGTCTCTCCCGTGCCATAAGGGGGCGCACGAAGTCCACTCCTGAGCCCAGTGAGAGAAAACCCTAGATAGGAGGGCTGAGAAAGGCCTTACCCATCATTCCAGAGCTCCTTCAGGTGGTCATGGACCAGCTCCAGAATTTTGTCCAGCCACGTCCAGAAAGGGATCTTGCCAGGGGGGCTGTCTCTCTGAAGGAGGAATGGAAAGGCAGGAAGAGATTGGAGCTACCCTTAGTGTAGGGAAGGGTCGAGGCAGGGCCAGAATTGGGACTGGGGACTAGAGAGACACAGGCTGCTGGGAATTACCTTACTGAAGTCCACCCAGGACAACAATGCATCCTCCATCCTGCAGTTCTTTCCTGTAGGACAGGGTCACAGATGGTTTGGATGAATGAAGGAGGCCATGGGGGCCAGGCAGAGGGCCTGGGATAGGACACAGGGTAGGGGCAAGCTAGGCTAGGGAAAGAGTGAGAACAAAGAAAAACTGTACCAAAGAGCTTGTTCTTCAGCATGCCCAGCTGCTCAGAATTGAGGCCTCGGCCAACATACGAGGAGAATTGCCAACTGAGAACAGGCCCCAGCAAGCTCCAGGGGGCTTTAGGAGCATGGCAGAAGAATTTGGGGTTCTGTGGGGGAGAGGGAGGTGAGATGGCTCAAAAGCAGCCCTTCCCGCCATGCCTTCACTCCTCTCTGCTCCTCACCCATTCACCTCATCCTCCTACCTGGGGGGTTGGGCTGAGCATGTTGAACCAGAGAACTGAGGCCCAGGCAATGGAGAGCTGGTTCATGTTAGAAATGATCACCACAGGGAGCGTGTCCGTCTGGGAAACAGACAGAAGTCATGGTGGTGGCAGACGTCTGCCTTGGGGCCTGGATGACACCTCACTCTGGGAGACCTTGGGACATTTCCGTTGGTGTCTGTGCGGTGCCCGCTGTGTGTTTCTTCTAAATGTGCTGCCTCCTCCTTCCCTGCTTCCCCTCACTCACCTGCAGCTCCATCTTCAGACCTTGGTACACGTATTGCACCACAAAGCTGATGACATGTAACTCCTCCATTACGGCCAGCGGCCCCTGGAGAGTCACAGTGATTAGAGGGCTCCTTGGTCAGTCGAGGCTCTGGAGAGTCCCCCCAGCCTTACCTTATTGGTGCCCTTTCCTGTCCCCACAGAACGTTGCTCCACCAGCGTCTGTGAACGGAGGGAAATACAATGCCAGGGAGGGGACCCAAAGGCCAAGACCTGGAAATATTCCTCCAACCCTGGTCCTTCGAATTAGTGGCCAATTCTATTAACCCTTCTTACCAAGAAGCCAAAGTCCCAAACTAAACCTTGTCTCTGGCCCTCCTCAGGGGTCAAGGTTTTTTGGTTTGAGGTCAGAATGTTAAATTTCCGGAAGCTGTTCCAGGGAAAAGATATACGGAGACAAAGAGCAAGTTAGTGTCTGTCTGTCTGTCTCTGTAGCCCAGGCTGGCCTTGTATTCTCAGTGATCCTCTTGCCCCAGACTCCTAAGTACTGAAGTTTCAGGTGTATCCCACTATGCCATACTCAGAGTTGGTTTTAAGAATCAGCAGGAAAGGGCCAGTGAGATGGCTCAACAGGCAGAGAGGTTGTGGCCAAGCCTGATTACTTGAGTTCAAACCCCAAGACCCACATGGTGGGAGGAAAGAGCAGACTCCCACTAGTTGTCCTCTGATCTATACATATTTCCATATTTTTCTTTCTTGATCTTGGGCATGTACACACACACACACACACACACACACACACACACACACACACTAGCTCTTTCTGTAACTAAAATCCAAATAAAAAAACAAAAATCCCACTTCATTTCAGACTTCCTCTTCTCCTGTTGTCCATGCCCCACCCACATCCCCTTCCTTCCGTGGACCCCACCGGTGTTGCCAACCGTGGTAGTGCAGGCCATGTATGCAGAGTGCATGTGCTTATCAGACACCTACCCTGGTAACTCTGAATTCCTGAAAAGAAAGAAAAAAGACAATCACTGGTCCTGTGGGGGACAGGGAGATGGCTCAGAAGCATCCCGTCCCACCAAGCCTCCACTCAGGAGGTAAAAGTGGATAGGAATTTGGTCTTGGTAGTCAGGACAGGTTCTAGAGTTCACTGGCCACATGGCCTGTCAGACGAGACACGGTATTTCTGAGTTCATGTCCTTATTTGTCACTAATACCCACCTGGTGGCTGTGTTAGTAAAACGAGCCTGAGACACGCTGCATGGCAGCGAGTGTGTGCTTGGTGAGAGGGGGGTGGGCTTTGCTGCTGTTGTTTAGTTTTTGTGTGTGTGGTTTTTTTTTTGTTGTTGTTGTTGTTGTTTAAAGATTTTATTCATTTATTATGTATACGGTCTTGTGCCTGCATGCCAGCAGAGGGCACCAGATCTCATAACAGATGGTTGTCAGCCGGGAATTGAACTCAGGACCTCTGGAAGAACAGTCAGTGCTCTTAACCTCTGAGCCATCTCTCCAACCCCGTGTGTGTGGTTTTTGTTGTTTTATTTTTCTTTTGTTTTTTATGTATACGGTCTTGTGCCTGCATGCCAGCAGAGGGCACCAGATCTCATAACAGATGGTTGTCAGCCGGGAATTGAACTCAGGACCTAACTCAGGACCTTCAGTGCTCTTAACCTCTGAGCCATCTCTCCAACCCCGTGTGTGTGGTTTTTGTTGTTTTATTTTTCTTTTGTTTTTGTTTTTTGTTTTTGTTTTTTTTTTTTTTGAGACAGGGTTTCTCTGTGTAGCCCTGGCTGCCCTGGAACTCACGCTGTACACCAGGCTGGCCTCAAACTCACAGAGATCTCCCTACCTCTGCCTCCCTCCCCCCATTAAAGGGGTGCACTACAACTCCTGGCTTCACTTCTGTAAGGTAGAATGGCACGGACAGGAGGCAGTCTGAGGGTCCAGCTGTGCAGCGACTACCGCTGGCACCAGTCCATCCCCACTGGCCATCTTAGTCACATCCTTCAGCCGCTCAACTTACCTGTCAATGGAGACCTCTGCTTTGAGTGACTCGTTGCCCTCCTGGAGTCTCACCAGCAGTCTGGGGGGGAAAGGAGATGGGTTGGATATAGTGGTCAATCTTAAATTTGTTGTTGTTTGTTTTCGAGACAGGGTTTCTCTGTATAACAGTCCTGGCTGCCCTGGAACTAGCGCTGGAGACCAGGCTGGCCTCAAACTCACAGAGATCCTGCCTCTGCCTCCCGAGTGCTGGGATTAAAGTCGTGCACCACCACTGCCTAGTTCTCAAATTCTTGATAAGGTCAGATGTGTAGAAAAAACTGTGTGTGTGGGGGGGTGGGGGACTAGAAGGGGAAGGTAGACTGGAGGGGGAAGAAGAAATTTCCATCAGCTAAAGAATCTGCAAAGTCAGAAAAGGTACAATGGCAGAGTAGGAGAAAACAAGGCAGGGGTTAGAAAATCAAGCAACCTTGTTCGGACAGTGAACTTGCTCCCAGTCTTCAGGATGAGGGGTCGATGAAGGGTTTGGGGCATGCAGGGCTGGGTTTCTACCACAAAGGACCTAAGGAAGAGGCATGGAGAGAAGATAACAGTTCAGTGTCTGTAACAACCGGAACCCCACGTTTCTTCCTTGTTCCTCCCACCACAGACCCCTCCCAGGCCACCAGACCTTTGGAGCAGGCGTTGTAGTAACTCTGTGACTTGGGCATTTTGCAGGTCCACCCCTTTGCTGAACATGTCCCCGTCATACTTAAGCATGTGGCTCATTTCCTTCAGCTGTCTCAGCAGCTGTCGAAGGTGGAACAGGAGCTTTGCTCCAGCCGTCAACCTGCATGACACAGTCCGGAGAGAGAGGATGTGTGAGTTTCACAGGGCCCCACTGAGGTTCTGGGTGCTCTCCTTTTAATAATGTGGAGGGTTGGAAACTGACTTGAGGGGCTGGGGAGATGGCTCAGGGGTTAAGAGCACTGGCTGCTCTTCCAGAGGACCCAAGTTCAGTTCCCAGCACCCACATAGCAGCTCACAGCTGTCTGTAACTCCAGTTCCAGGGGACCCAACACCCTTCCCAGGCATACATGAGGCAAAACACTAATGCACACAAAATAAAATAAAACAAAACAAAAACCTCACTCGACTAAAAAAGAACCCAGAACCAGGTATGCCACTGCCTCCTTGTTCTTCCACACTCTCAAGGTTAAGTAGGAGGGTTCGAGAGTTTAAGGCCAGCCTGGGACACATGAGACCCTGTCACAAACAAACAATGCAGGAAACATATGGCAAAGTATTCAATACAATTTTTCCCTAGTCAGAGTTTCTGTGTGTAGCCCAGGCTACCCTGGAGCTCACTCTGGAGATCCACCTGCCTCTGCCTCCCAGGTACTGGGATGAAAGACATGAGCCAATACTAACCTGATTCAACACAATTTTTACTCCAAGAGACTAAACTCAAAACTGCTTTGTTACACAAAACTGATAAAAGTTTTATTAACATGATGACACTTTATTTTGTACAGGAGGTGCGATATGTGCAGGTCAGAGTTGTGCATCGTCATTGATGGCTCCTCAGCTCTCTGAGACAGGCTCTCTCACTGAACCTGGTTCTCACCATTTTGCCTAAGAGGCTGGCCAGCAAACCCTGGGTCTCTGACTATTTCTTCCGACTTGGTGCTGGGGTTACAGGTACCTGGTATTAGGCCCAGCATTTTTTTTTTTTTTTCATTTGGTTTTTTCGAGACAGGATTTCTCTGTGTAACAGCCCTGGCTGTCCTGGAACTCACTATTTAGTTCGAGGCTGGCCTCAAACTCACAGAGATCTACCTGCCTCTGCCTCCTGAGTGCTGGGATTAGAGGTGTGTGCCATCACCGCCTGGCTATGCCCAGCTTTTATGTAGGTGCTTGGAATCTGAACTCAGGCCCTATGCTCGAATAGCAAGCTTGTTCCTGATGGAGCCATTTCCTCAGATGCTGGGGTGGTTTTTTTCTTTCTTCTTTGTGTGTGTGTGTGTGTGTGTGTGTGTGTGTGTGTGTGTGTGTGTGTCTTCAAGCAGGGTTTCAGTATACACTCCAGACTAGCCTGAACTCTCAGTTCTTATGTGTTTCCTCTATAGAACCTGGATCCCTGGACACCAACACCACACTCAGCTCAGAGCCCTCTTTTTGTTCATTCTGTCCTGGAACCATGAGGGCTAGGCCTGGTGTGTGCATGAGGATGGGAAGGAAATATCTTTTCCTCTTACCACTGTTCCAGCTGTTCCAGCTGCAGCTCTGGCAGTGGGGCTCCAATGCAAGATTTCTGCTGCTGCACCTTCCACTCATCCAATTTTGGCAGCAACAGGTCAACCAGGGTGGTTAATCGGCCTACTAGTGTTCTGGACGTATCCAGCACTTCCTAGCATAAGGAAAATTCGAGTGCTAAGTACCTCTCACCACCACCTCATCATCAATCAGCTGTTAAGAGGGCCAGAGCCCCCTCCCTGTGGTTCCCTTCTGCCCTAGCTGTTAACTGCCTTCACCTTTCTCATTCTGTCCAGTTCATTGGCTGTTGTCTGTACAAGCTGGAACTGTTCCTTCTGATGAGGGTCCAAAGATGATGTCTTCTCTGAAACACAGAACCACGAGTCAGCTCATGGGTTCCTACTCTCTTTCCTGGCCAGGGTCTCAGTCAGGAACAGGGAATGATGGGTGGAGGGAGAGGAAGGGAGCACTAGGTGAAGGACAGGCACCTGGAGTCCCATGGACAAATTCTGAATGGACCAGAAGCCACTCAACCTGCCGTGGCAGCTTTCTACATCAGCCCTCCATCACTTACTGGCCATTCCACAGCCACATCTCTGTTCCGCCCTACAACACGCCCTGGCACCACTGTTTTGTATATGGACGGGACCGCTGATACTGACATAGACAGCTGAGGGAGGGGTCAGCTGCTTGCTAGAGGATTCAGTTTCTGTCATCATCTACACTAGGTTTCTGAGATGGCCCCTGGCTCTCTCCCACTTTGAGTGGACCTACTTTGAGTGAAAACCGTGTATCTGAAGCTGAAGACGTCGTGCAGGTCTTTCAGTTGCCTGATGGATCTCACCAACATCTGTAGAGAAGATGGGACCCCAATAAGGCTGCTCTGAGGGGGTGGAAAACTGCATCCTCTCTCCACCCGACACCTGCCACATCCACCGACCTCAACCCTAGCCTGTAAATCCAGGATTCGGGATTCAGTCTCAAGCTGCTGGCTTCCCACTGCCACTTCAGGAGCTGGCCTGGCTTGTACCTGAAACAAGAGAATCTGAGTGTGTTTGAACTCTTTCTTTTCTTTTCCAAGACAGGGTTTCACTATGCTGCCCTAGCTGTCCAGGAACTAGCTCCGTAGACCAGGCTGGCCTCAGACTCACAGATCCGCCTGCCTCTGCCTCCCAAGCACTGGGAGTAAAGCTGTGCACCCTCTCCCCTTCCCAGAATAAACGCTGACTTTTCATCCCTAAAATCGGGACCTGAAATATACTGCAGGATGTGGGGAGATCCTGGTCAGAGACAAGTTCTCTGAGCCCTTTCCATGGTGTCTTTCTATCCCAAGAGCTTCCAACATCCCATTCGTCCTTACCTCCTGAGCCCTTTGAGCCTGATTCAGAATTCTTTTCTCTTCCAGGAGAAGGTTAAAGATCATCCCAGCCAGCTGGGTAGGGCCATTAGAAAAGGTCTAAGTGGGGAAAACAGAAGGATCAGTCCATTTAACTACCTTAACGGCCTGCCAGTCCAGAACCTGCTCTCAGTTTCTCTAGTATTGTCCCTCATCAGGGTCCCTGGCCACCTCCGTATCTACCCGTATCAGTCCTTTACTATGCCAGTGATACACCAAGTCCAGGCTCTATCCCCTCGCTTTGCATCTTTAGGAACAGATGCCCTTACCCTACACTCAGAGGTGAGTCCCATCCCGTTAGTCCAAGCTTTTTTTTTTTTTTTTTTAAGATTTTATTTATTATGTATACAACATTCTGCTTCCATGTATATCTGCACACCAGAAGAGGGCACCAGATCTCTTAACGGATGGTTGTGAGCCACCATGTGGTTGCTGAGAATTGAACTCAGGACCTCTGGAAGAGCAGTCGGTGCTCTTAACCTCTGAGCTATCTCTCCAGCCCCTAGTCCAAGCTTTTCCTGGTACCTGGATGTCCCGGCTGAATTTTCGCAAGTTATGCTGCAATAAAAAGCAATCAGGGTCTGAGGAGTGGTCCCACTGGTTCAGCTGGTCCAGGATGTTGAAGTACAGCATGTTGGCCTTGGACTGATCATTGCCTAGCGAGGCCTCCCGCCTGAGGACCAGGCACAAAAGGACTAAGATCTCTGTAAAGTCACCACTGCTGTGAGATCTCCCACCCTGCCCAGGACGTCTCTAACTAGGACCCTGTTGGCTCAGAAGAAAGAAACCACCTGGATTCCCAAAGCCCTCACCAGTTCTGGTCTTCAATCCAGGCAGCCAAGTGCTGTCTAACATCCATTGGCAGGATGCTTTGAGAGTATAGCTGGTGCAGCTGGTCCAGAAACGGGCTGTCAAGATTCTGCAGTGTCTCCCATTGCGCCATCTGGACTCTGAATGGAAAGGATATCAGTTCTCAATTCAACATTTTATGGAGCCAAACTATCCATAGTCTCATGATGATTTATGAGTTTATTGTTTGGTTTATAAAAAATGAACAGGCTGGGCAGTGGTGGTGTATACCTTTAGTCCCAGCACTCGGAAAGCAGAGGCAGGAGGATCTCTGTGAGTTCAAGGCCAGCCTGGTCTACAGAGAGAGTTCCAGGATAGCCAGGGCTACACAGAGAAACCCTGTCTCAGAAAACAAATCCAGGGGCTCACTCAAATAACCCAGCTGGCCTAGAAATCAAAACAATGCCACCTCAGCCTCCCAAGTGCTAGGATTTCAGCATAAGCCTCCAAGTCTGACTATGTAACTTTTGTTCTAATTTAAAATGTTTCAATTAGGCTGGCGTTGGTGGTGCATGCCTTTAATCTCAGCACTTGGGAGGCAGAGGCAGGTGGATCTCTATAAGTTCTAGACCAGCCTGGTCTACAAGAGCTAGTTCCAAGACAGCCTCCAAAGCCACAGAGAAACCCTGTCTTGGAAAAAAAAATGTTTCAATTATACAATTAAAAGATACAGAAAAGGGGCTGGAGATTTGGCTCAGTTTTTTGTTTGTTTGTTTGTTTTTATTTTTTTGGGTTTTTCTTTTTTTTTTTCCGAGACAGGGTTTCTCTGTGGCTTTGGAGCCTGCCCTGGAACTAGCTCTTTAGACCAGGCTGGTCTCGAACTCACAGAGATCTGCCTGCCTCTGCCTCCCGAGTGCTGGGATTAAAGGCGTGGGCCACCAACGCCCGTCTTGGCTCAGTGTTTAAGAGCACTTGTTGCTCTTTTAGAGGAGGAGTTTTTGATTCTTAACACCCACGTGGCGCTAAATTCCATTCCTAGGGGATCGATTGGATGGATGCCCTCTTTAGACTTCTGAGAATATCAGGCACTTAGGTGGTATGCCTACATACATATACACAAAACTCAAAAACATAAAAAGAATCTTTAAAAGACACAGAAAATAGCCGGGCTGTGGTGGTGTACACCTTTAGTCCCAGCACTTGGGAGGCAGAGACTGGCAGATTTCTCTGAGTTAGAGGCCAGCCTGGTCTACAGAGGGAGTGCCAGGACAGCTTGGGCTGTTACACAGAGAAACCCTGTCTTGAAAAAAAAAAAAAAAAAAAAAAAAAACAAGATACAGATTACATTGCTTCTATTCTCGGTTTTGGTTTCTGTCCTTTCTCTCTAAAGATAGTTCTTATTACAGTTTACTTTAGTTTTTCCAGGGAATACTATTAAATAGTTGTCATATGTAGTACTTTTTGTTTACTAGTAACTTTCAAGACCTGAGCCTGGTGGCACATGCCTGTAATACCAGCACTTAGCAGTTGGAGGCAGGAGCATTAAGGGCAGGCTCAGCTACATAGTGAATTTAGGTCAGGCAGGGCTGCTGTGGATCATTTGTTGTTGTTGTTGTTGTTTTGTTTTAAAGGTTTTATTTATTTATTATGTCTTCTGCCTTCATGCCAGCAGAGGGCACCAGATCTCATTCAAGGTGGTTGTGAGCCACCATGTGGTTGCTGGGAATTGAACTCAGGACCTCTTGGAAGAACAGTCAGTGCTCTTGACCACTGAGCCATCTCTCCAGCCTGTGGATCAATCAGTTTTTGTACACTGTGAATATGTATTACCCTCAATGGTTAATAAAGAGCTGACTGGCCTATAGCTGGGCAGGAGAGCCACACTAGGAGAATGCTGGAAAGAAGGGAAGAGTCTTAGGAGTCGCCAGCCAGATGCAGAGGAAACAGGACGTGTACAAAATGAGGTAACAACACATGAACTGCACGGCAGTAAGTAAAGGAATATAAATGGGTTAATTTAAAACATAAGAGCTTGTGGAGTTTGACTTTCAGGATGTTGTGAGTCTCCCAGTTTGGGTGCTCAGAACTGAACCCCAGTCCTCTGCAAGAGCAATGAGCTCTCTTAGCCACTTAGCTGTCTATCCACCCACCAAGAGCCAATTTTTCATTTTAGCTTTCTAATAATAATCCTTGACCGCCCCTTGCTGGAGATCAAACAGAGGACCTCTCTTGTGCTCTGTGAATGCTCTAGCTGAACTACATAACTACAACATCAGACAGGTATTTGACTCTTTTATTTATTTATTTATTTATTTATTTATTTATTTATTTATTCCAGACAGGGTTTCTCTGTGTAGTTCTGGCTGTTCTGGAACTCACTCTGTAGCCAGGCTGGCCTTGAACTCAGAGATCCACTTGTCTGGGTGTCAAAGGTGTCAAGAGTGCTGGGGTCAAAGGTGTGCACCACCACCACCACGCCTGTATTGCTTTTAAGAAACAAAAACATTGCTGTGCGGTGGTTGCACAAGTCTTTAATCCCAGCACTTGGGAGGCAGAGGCAGGTGGATCTCTATGAGTTTGAGACCAGCCTGGTCTAAAAGAGCTAGTTCCAGGACAGGCTCCAGAGCTACACAGAGAAACCAACCCTGCTTCAAAAAACAAACAAACAAACATCATTTTAAAGACAAGATCCCAGTTCTTCAGGAATTAAAGGACTAGTATCCAAGCAAGGGAACAAGTAAATTCTGAGATTTAAATAAGAAACCAAACATAAGAGAAAAAAAAAAGTTGCTGGCTGTGGTGGTGCACACCTTGAATCCCAGCACTGGGGAAGCAGAGGCCCAGCCCGGTCTGCACAGCAAGTTCCAGGACAGGCAGGGCTAAACCCTGCCTCAAAACAAACAAGTCTTCCTAAGTGGACTGTACTGCAGTTATGGGAGCTGCAAAGTGCTTTCTCTAGCTTCACCCTCTCAATTTTACACTAAATAAAATTTTCTGAAATAAACTAGACTGTGTGTGTAACCTTAAGCAAGCAGTTTCATCTCCCAGGACTTTACAGTTTATATTTGTATATATATTTGATATATATATATTTGATTGTATGTATATATGCATATATACATACATAACAAATAAGGATGTCCGTGTTTTCATTTATTTATTTATTTTGGTAAGGATAAAATATTATGCAAAGGGGCTGGGAACACAGCTCAGCGGGTGAGAGCTCTGGCTGCTGTTCCAGACGACCCCACTGGGTTCGATTCCCAGCTCCCACATGGCAATTTATGACCAGCATTCCAGTCCCAGATCTGACGACCTCTTCTGACCAACACAAGCACTGCACGGATGTGGCACACAGACAAAGCATGCTTACAAATTAAATAACAAACAGATGATAGACAGATAACGCTTTGGCTTATGACAAGGGTCAAATGCTGCATGCCAGGCTTCAGGGTTTGCGGAGGAGTTTTGGAAGAAGGTCGACAGGGCTGAAAAGTAAAAGCAAAGCGAGGGTGTGACATCCCGGACAGGGGCATCCCGGGGGCAGTGGCCCTTCCCGAGATCGAACTCACGCCTCCCTGCTCCGCACACGCTCTCGGGGCCTGTACCTTCTGAGGCTCCGGTGCCGCTCCTCGAGTCCTGGCCCCGCCCACCACCGGGCTGGGCGAGCTGCTGGAAACCACACCGCCGAGCTCCGTGTTTGGCGAAGAGGCTCCCAGAGGGGCGGAACCCAACTAATGTCATACCCAAGAATTCAAGCAGCTGACTTTCCCGAACCTGCACTCCCAGGAAAAGGAAACGAAACCAGAGCGTGCAGAGGCACCAAGGACTCCGCAGAAGGGGTGGGACTTGCATTTCGATACTTTAGGTAGGGAGGGAAGAGCCGAGGCACATATTTTTGAGGACATAATGATAAATACCATAGGATCGTGTTATCAGTTTTTAATTTCCATAACCACTTGTTCAGGTGAAAACTCACTACTCCCTCATTAGAAACATAAAAAACTGAGTTTCAAGAAATGACTGGCAAGTGATGACAATACCCCAAACCCATCCATCCATCTATACTACTCCTTCTCTGTCAGAATTTTCCATTTATTTGTTGTTCTGTTACTACCTCTTGTATGCCCAGATACTGTAGTCCTGTTCCAAGGCTTGGTCCCAGTAGGAAAATGTACTTTCAACTTCTGACACCAAAGTAGTCATGGTTGTTTCTTCGAAGTCACGGTCTTCCTGCACGGTCTCCGGCAGAGAGAGGCTCACCTCTTTCTCGTCATAATAATATCGGATCAGCTGCTGAACCCCAGCCTTCAATGCTGGCTTAAGAGTAGCACTTATCACCACACCAGCCGGCCCCCCTGACACACCCACCATGGCCATCAAAAGGTCATAACCCAGATCTAAGGCTCCCTCTTTGCCTCGCTCCTTGGCCTTGTCGGAGCAGTTCTGAATGGCATAGTACAATGCTGTGCCTAGATTGTAGTAGGTCCCCACTGCCGGCAGCAGCCCAACCACACTGTGCACACTCTGCTCCCGCTCATTGTCACAGGCTGCGTTAGAAAGAGAGCGTGGGACCCTCTTTGGACCTGGCTGCTCCCAGGCTAAGAGCTGCAGAGCAGAAGATAAGGCGTCTACCGACACTTGCTGGTCCTCAAGTCCACCTTTCTGGAGCTCTTGGAGATGGTGGATGAGGGCCTGTGTAGCCTCCACACCTCCCAGTCGGTAAAGCTGCCGCTGCAGAGCCCAGACATCAGCCTGGCAGCCAGCTTCCTCCAGAGCGTTCCTCAGAGCCAGGCCTACCAGGAACTTGGGGAGAGGGGGCATGTGAGTGAAGCCAGGCAGGGACTTTGGGAGCAGGACCTGGCAGGACAAGGGGTCTGAGGAGGGCAACTGGTATCCCAACGCCAAGGGAGGGAGCATCGCAGAGGGACTTGTTGGCTCTCTGTGTGAAACGGCATCCACAGGACACAGCAGGAGGCAGCAGAGCAGCTGAACTGCCATCATCAGGAGTCGCAGGCTGTGCATGTCTGGAGCAGAGCACCCTGGAAAAAGGAAAACCCCAAAACATGCAAACCATTTCACTGAAGGCTATAGTCTTAAAGGAGGCCCAAGATTCAGGGGACACCACCACCACCTACCTCCCACCCTTTTTTTTTTTTTTTTTTTTTTTTTTTTAGTAAAGGAGTAGGATATGGGAAATGCAATTCAATTTCTCCTTAGTCTCTGTCATTTCTAGGTCACAGGAACCTCCCTGTTTTGTTCCCACCCATTCATAGGAGACCCAGATTACCATACAGTGCAGTCATGGAGAAGTAAGACCTCTTGGGTAGGTTTGTCAGCTCCTCCTGTTCTACCCAGTTCTCTGTCCTATGGAGAGGAGATATTTGAGGCCACTGCAGTGGAAGTGCTAGGACTGAAGGCTAGAACAGGCCCATCAGTCCCTACAGTGCAGATGAGGCTCCCAGTGTTGACATTGGCCAGGACCTTTGCAAATAAGCAGGGATAGAAAGGTTCAACCTTGAAACCAGCTGCTTTAACCAGGGAGGGCATACTCCAGGAAGGTTGCCTGGGGTTAATGCAGGACGAGGACAGAGGTGAGCAGGTGAGCTTGGAGACAGAGGCAATGTTGAGGACTGCCATGTACAGACAACTGCTAGGTTGTATTGCTAGTTACCAGGTAGTCCTTGGAGACTTCCATTTCACTGATACATCTTCACCCATATTTTTTGGGGGGGAAGCGGTTCAAGACAGGATTTCTGTGTGTCTTTGGAGGCTGTCCTGGAACTTGCTCTTGTAGAGTAGGCTGGTCTCGAACTCACAGAGATCTGCCTGCCTTTGCCTCCCAAGTGCTGGGACTAAAGGTGTGTGCCACCATGTGTGCCACCACCGCCCCACCTTTTTTTTTTTTAAAGATTAATTTATTATGTATCCAATGTTCCTGCTTGCTGCTTGTGTGCCGGCAGGCCAGAAGAGGACACATATCTCTTTATAGATGGTTGTGAGCCACCATGTGGTTGCTGGGAATTGAACTCAGGACCTGTGGAAGAGCAGCCAGTGCTTTTAACCTCTGAGCCATCTCTCCAGCCTTTTCACCCATATTTTTTTTTTTTGTAAAGATCTGTGGTTTTTGTGGGTTTTGTTTTATGTGTATGAGTGTTTTTCTGGTATGAATGTTAAGTGTACTATATGTATATAGTGCCCAAGGAGACCAGAAGAGTTTGGATTCCCTGGAACTTGGGCTACAGATGTTTGCAGGCTGCTATGTGGGTGCTGGGAACTGAGCCTTGGTCTTGTACATAGCAGCAAGTGTTCTTAACAAATGACCCACCTCTCCAGTATTTTTGGTTTGTTTGTTTGTTTTTCGAGACAGGGTTTCTCTGTGTAGCTTTTGGAGCCTATCCTGGAACTCACTCTGGAACCCAGGTTGGCCTCGAACTCACAGAGATCCGCCTGCCTCTGCCTCCTGAGTGCTGGGATTAAACTCCCGGCTTTTTTTTTTTCCTCTCCAGTCTTTTCACACATATTTTAAGAAGTTATGAGACCAGCCAGGCAGACCATGGTGGCACATACCTTTAATCCTGGTAGAGGCCAACCTGGTCTACAGAGTGAGTTCCAGGACAGCCAGAGCTACATAGAGAAACCCAATCTAGAAAAAAAAAAATACAGAAAAAAAGTTATGAGAGAGCTCACTAGTTTGGAGGGAAAGCTAGAAGCAGGCTGAATAAACATCCCATTTGCTATGGTGTCTTCAAGATCTGAGTGAATATTGTTTTTGATCCCACCTTTTCCCTACCATACCTACCATATCATTAGGAAGCCTGAACCCTGTGAATTACAAAAGCGAAGGATATGGTAGTTACAAATATTTACCGACTCTTCCTGGAGCCGACTCTGTCCTCCTAACCTTTGCCCCACACCGACAAACTGTTTTTTCCCCTTCTGATACCTGTCCATCTTACCCTATGTCCTTGTCCTAAGGACCTATGCATGAAACAAGATAGTTTCTCAGTATCTTTGGAGAAGGTTTATGTCCCTTCTTCTGGCAGACCAGAGGACAGCATCCAGGGTCCTACCTGTTAATAGACAGGGTTTCTCAGTGTATCTCTGGCTGTCCTAGAACTTGCTCTGTAGAACAGGCTGGCCTCAAACTCACAGAGATCTGCCTGTCTCTGCCTCCACAGTGCTGGGATTAAAGGCATGTGCCACCATGCCCAGTTTACCATTTTTTCGTCATTGAATTGTTGGTTCTATCTAAGATGATGAAAGAAGATTTTAAAATGGCATAAACTAGCAACAAAAATGTAGAACAGTGTTTATTTTAAAATGCTTTATGGGTTAAATATTAGTCAAAAAAGAGCTAGTGGGGATAGAGAGATAGCTCAGCAGTTAAGAGCACTGACTGCTCTTCCAGAGGTCCTGAGTTCAATTCCCAGCACCCAAATGGCAACTCACAACTGTCTGTAACTCCAGTTCCAGGGGATATGAAACCCTCACACCAAAAAAAAAAAAAAAAAAAAAACAAAAAAAAAAAACAAAAAACAAAAAAAACTCAATAAATAAATAAATAAATAAATAAATAGAAAAAAACTAGTGAAATAATTTAACAAGGTAAAAAATAAAACTCTAATACACAAGCACAAATAAAAGCTTGGTGGCACAAACCTGCTTTCCCAGCACTCAGGGGGCAGAGGCAAGAGGAACCAGTGTAAGTCCAAGCAAGCCTAGGCTGGTCAACTTAGAAAGTTCTAGGCCAACCATGGAGGCTACAGAATGAGGTTCTGTCTCAAACAAGCAAGCAAACAAGCAAACAGCTACAAAATCAGAGCTGGCAATTCAGCTGTTGGTGGAGGTCTTGCTTAGTATGCAGCAGGCCCTGGGTTTGGTCCCTAACTCTACATAAAGCATGGTACACACATCTATAATTCCAGCACCTGGAGATAGAGGCAGGATACCAGATATTTTAGGCTAGCCTGGACTGCATGAGAGATAGTATAAAAAACAAACAAATACACAAACCTGGTAAATTCCCCACTCCCGCTCATGAAAACAATCTTAATTAAACTCGGTCACAAAAGAAAAAAAATCTGTGCATGGTGGTGTACATCTTCAATCCCAGTATTTAGGAGGCAGATGTAGATGGATTTCTGAGAATTCAAAGCTAGTCTGGTCTACAGAGTGAGGTCCAGGTCAGTCAGGGCTACCTAGTGAGATCCTGTCTCAAAAGTAAAAAGAAAAAAAGAAAGGAAGGAAAAAAATAGAAAGCAAGAAAGGAATGGCCAGGCACTGGTGGCACATGCCTTTAATCCCAGCACTCGGGAGGCAGAGGCAGGCAGATCTCCATGACTTGTAGACTAGCCCGGTCTACACATTGAATCCTAGGACAGCAAAGGCTATGCAGGTAGACTCCGTCTGGTCCCACACCCAGAAAAAGGAGTTTGTTTGCACCATCATCCTTATAATTTATTTTTCTCCTCCCTTCCATCCTTCCTCACCTCTTCCTTTCCTTTTACTCTATCGTTGCTGTGGTCATCTGTCCCGCGCGCTCTCTGTATTTCTCGCCAGCAAGAAATCATACGCAGGACACTCGGATCCTTCTGCAGACAAGCTTTAATACATCTTACCAGAATGGAGACCAGAACGGAGACACTAAAACCAAGAAAACCATCCCTTATAAAGGCTGACCAGCCGCCTGGGACGTGTTACCCTATGAATGGCTTCAGCTCCTCAGGCAAAAATGAGCCACGGGATAGGCAGAGATCAAAGGAATGGAGATTACCCAGCGCCTGTGAAGTAATTTACAACTTGGTGTCTTCCGGCACCTATTATAGTAATGGATAATGTAGGAACCGGCTTCCTACAGTCATCTTTGGAGACAAGGTCTGGCTCTGTAGTCCACGGTGGCTTGCCCTGGCTGCAGTGATGCTCCTGTGTCCTCTGTGTTCGCGCACTGAAGGCTGTGTGCAGCACCTCTTCCATTTCCTGCAGACCATTTTATTATTATTTTCTTTAAATTAAGTTTAATGCTTCCCTTTTGATTAAAAAAATTGCACAATTGCTTGCCTTTAATCCCAGCACTCGGGAGGCAGAGGCAGGCAGTTCTCAGTGAGTTCAAGGGCAGCATGGTCTACAGAGTGAGTTCCAGGACAGCCAGGGCTGTTGTCAGGGCCCGAATATAATATTTAGGAACAGGCCTATGGAGGAACCCTGTCTTGAAAAAAAAAATCACACAATTCCTAAAAGAAGGAACAAGAAAGAATGTTCACGCTTGCCGTGTCTTTCCCTGTGCCAGTGCAGGTTGCAGTCAGAGTGATTCTGCTGGAATTCAGGGCCAGTTTGGACTAGGATGAGAGTCCATCTCAAAAACAAAACAAAACAAAACCTGGGAAAGATTATACCCACAAGAAGTACAAGGAAGGAAGTAATACTAGAGTAGAAATAGGTAGAAAACAATAGATAAAAATCAGAGAAACCGAAAGTTTACTCTCTAAAATGTTGAACAAGATCAACACATTGTTATCTACATGACCAGGAAGAGAAAGAGAAAATATTCGAATGACTTAAATCAGGAATGAAAGCAGAGTCATTGATGCCTATTTTACTGAAATTAAAAATATTATAAGAGCTGGGCAGTGGTGGCGCTCACCCTTAATCCCAGCCTCTGCCTCCCGAGTGCTGGGATCAAAGGTGTGAACCACCACACCTGGCAACTATTTTTATTTTTAAAGACTTACTTTGTTTCTTGTGTGTGTGTGTGTGTGTGTGTGTGTGTGTGTGTGTGTGTAGGAGTGTCTTCTGGGGGGAGGCTGGAGATGGCTCAGGATTTTAAGAGCACAGGCTGTTCTTCCAGAGGTCCCAAGTTCAAGTCCCATCAACCACACGGTGGCTCACAACCAACTATAATGAATTCTGGTGGGTAGACATACATACAGGCAGAACACTGTATACATAAATAAAAAAGTCTTTATTTTAAAAAAGTAGAAAGAAAAACCACAGAGCCATCTTTTCAGTGTTAACTACAAACTCCCTAGCTT